ATATATATATATATATATATATATATATATATATATAATTTAATTTTATCTTCTAAGTTGTGCGGCTCCACCTTCGATCCCCTCTCCCTCTCCATCTTCTTCATCAAACCCAATTAGGGGTGTAGGTGAGTCAAGCCGACTCATTGTGCGGCTCAATCTCTGCTCGATAAGTGGCTCGTGAGCTGAGCTTGATGAGCTTACAAGCCAAGCTCAAGCTAGTCACAACTCAACTCCTTAGCTTGTGAGCCGCTCATTTAGAAAAAAAATATTTATATAAAATATACTCAAATTGCATTAAATTTGAAAATTTTATCTTTAAAGTACTAAAAATATTTTAAAAATAATATCTTGTAATTTATAGTAAATAATTTATTATTATTTTTCTCTTAAGTATTTATTCTATTTGTCATTTCATTATAATACTATTATAAATTAATATTATTTTTTCACTTTTATATTAAACATGTCAGCTGTTGAGCCAGCTCCAACTTGTAAACTTAAGCACGAACTCAAATTTGATAAAATTAATCAAGCTCAAGCTCAAACTGAGGGTGGCTCGAGCTCGACTCAACCGGCCGCCAACCAACCAGCTCCCAACCACCTTCAAACACTGACCAACTTTCTCCCCACCAGCCCCAACCCAATGCACCCTTCTCCTATCCCAAGACCATTTTAATTCACCGAACTGCTCACGTGTTTGTTCGATTTTTGATAATGAATATTTACATACATACCACTCAATTCTTATGTACTTACATAACAAATACCGACTTCAATTTTTACAAACATGTCGGCTTACTAATGCACAAAAAGCTGTGTTTCACATTTTAAAAATTAAAATTGTGACATTTTTTATGTGATATGAGAGATTTTCCTAGTGTAAATGTAACAAAAAATGTTTAGGTGTTAGATATGTGAATATATAGGAATTGGCTGGTATGCATGTAAATGCCCGCTATGTACTTATCCTTCTGTGTGTTTGCAGCGGTGGGGGTGTTGTTGCATATGCTGATGCAAGTTCTAATCATACTGAATTTTCACAAGGAACTCCCAAGAAGAAATTGGTTGTCCTCGGAACAGGCTGGGCTGGTACCAGTTTTTTGAAGAATTTGGACACCTCCTTATATGATGTTCGAGTCGTATCACCTCGTAATTACTTCGCATTCACTCCTCTGCTACCAAGCGTCACATGTGGCACTGTTGAGCCGCGCAGCATTGTCGAACCAATTCGCAGTATCACACAAAAGGTATAAAGCACACAAAGTTTTATATTTACACTTATAATACTATGGAGTCATAAGCCTATACATGAGAATGCATATCTCATTTTTAAAAAGATAGTGATGATGTTAAAAATTTAAGTTGTATTCATGTAATATGGACTTTTAGGTGTAGCTGGGTAAATATTTGAGAATTGTGTGGTATGTATGTAAATACCCCTTTCTTTTTAGATTTGTAGGGGAGAAGGTTGAAAAAAAAGGACCCAATTTTTCTTGCTTTGTTAAGATGACATGTATGTTTAGCCATTAGATATGTAAATACATAAGAATTGGGTGGTACGAATATAAATCTTCACTTTTCTTATTGCAAGTATTATTACATTAATTATTAATTTTGTTGTTTATTCTAGCCACTGGCTCGGACTAAATTTCTCTTACTGATAGATGATAGACTAACATGTACCTAGCATATCAGATTGACAGTGATTTCTGCTAGCCACATATTAATTGTTATGTTTACTACCAGCTTTTTTAATGAGTTATCGCTCGTTAGTATGGAGTTTAAATTTCTTCTTCCTATGGTTTTGCAGAAAACTGGACCCGTCGGATTTTTTGAGGCTGAGTGTTATAAGATTGATCCTGCAAACAAGAAAGTATTATGCAGATCAAGCATTGGAACAAATTTGGATGGCAATGGAGAATTTGAATTAGATTATGATTACCTGGTGGTTGCTCTTGGAGCCAAGTCAAATACCTTCAACACTCCTGGTGTCACGGAGCACTGCCATTTTCTCAAGGTTCGATTCGCATTGAGCAATTATAAATACATGGAAAATTTACGTACATACCACTAAATTAGTATGTATTTACATATCCAACACCCATGCTTCAATTTTAACATAGTCGAGGAAATTCATTTTTGGATATACAAAATAAAAATGTGTATTTCACGAAAAGGTTTAAATGTTGTTATTTTTGATGTTATATGAAAGATTTGGGTGGTATAAATGTAAAAAGTAAAGTTGAGGTGTTAGGCAAATACAGAGGAATTGGATGGTATGTATATAAGTGCCCCTAAGGAAGATCAAGTTTTGCAATGAGAGTTACTAGCATTTGTTAAAATTCCTTATGTTATTTTTGTCATGTTGCTACTGAAGAGTGGACTGCCTCACTAAGACTGCCTCACTAAAGGACTACTGAAGAGTGGACTGCCTCACTAAAGGACTTAGCTCAGTGGAGTTAGCTAGATTATGTGACAAGATGGGCTTAGTGAATATCTTTTGCCCATCTAATGTAGATAGGATCCTATTTGTAAATAGATGAAGTCTAGGGATTTATTTGTAAATGCTGCAATTTGTAAGGCTTTATATAAGCCCATCATCAATGAAATTTTAATTGTAACTAAAGTAACTCCATTTAAATAGTCGGGACAATTTTGGCACATTATCCAATTGTAAAAAGTAAAATTTACGTGTTAGATAGGTAAACATATAGGAATTGGGTGTTATCTATGTAAACGCCCCTAATTATATTTGCTTGTAAAATTTGATTATCTGATCAAGGAGTTTGATTTTAAAGGAAAGATTCAAAAAATGGCAGGAAATTGAGGATGCTCAGAGAATCCGTAGAAGCGTGATGGACTGCTTTGAGAAAGCGAGCCTGCCATCCTTGAGTGAAGAAGAAAGGAAGAAGAATCTTCATTTTATTGTTGTTGGAGGTGGTCCAACTGGCGTTGAATTTTCTGCAGCTTTACATGATTTCATCAAAGAAGATCTGTCTAAGTTATATCCTGATATCAAAGATTTGGTGAAAATATCATTAATTGAGGCTGCAGACCGTCTCTTGACTATGTAAGTTGCAGCATACATTTGTAAATAATACTTATTGCATTTTCCATTAAATGCAAATCTATAAGATTTTAGAAATCAATAAGAAGAAGAAAAACATGTAGAAGCAATCACTAGTTTGATATCAAGTCTTATGTATTTACATAACTACATTTCACACACCTAAGCTTTAGTATTTACACTCACAACACTCGAATCTTTAATATCACAAAAAATCATACTATTATCACTTTTTAAATTTCAAATACACTTTTGTATGTAACACTAAAGTGTTTTGTATGTAAATATGGATGCTTAGGTGTAAGATATGTACATGCATAAGAATTGTGTGCTATGCATGTAAATTTCTCTTTTTTTATTTATTACTTTACTTTCGAAATGAAAGTTGTAAGGTAAATTAAAAGGTATATATACATTATTATTTTGAATAGAATACACTTAATCAATAAAATTTAATGTTTTAAAAACGATCGATAGAGATATATATCATATAAGTTACTTGAACTCTATGTAAATATATTAAAAAACCAGAGAAATATAAGGAAAGATATATGCACTCATATTCATTTATCTTTATTAAATTTGATAACGCACTTATAAAAATAAATTTTAAATATTGTTGTGTACATGGTAATGTTGATCAATGATTAAAATATATTTTATAAATTTAATAGACTTTACTCAAATAAGCCCATCACTTGACTTAAATTGAACTGTTGAACTAATGTTTCATGAATTTGTTATTTATATAGTTAATTTTTTTTCTTTCTTTTAGTTTTTTTAATGATTTTCAATGTTTTTATTCTCATAATGATGCAGGTTTGACAAGAGGATCACTGAATTTGCTGAGGAGAAGTTTAAGAAGGATGGCATTGATGTAAAAATGCACTACAAAGTTGTAAAGGTCTCTGATAAGGCCATTACAATGACAAACACAGCCGCTGGTGAGGTTAACGTTCCATATGGCATGGTTGTTTGGTCTACTGGAATCGGAACTCGGCCTATCATGTTAGATTTGATGAAAGAAATTGGTCAGGTGATTCCAGTGATCCTCATCTGAGCATTTGCTCACTTTGGTTTATGAAATTACCATGTGCCTGTTTTTAAACTTTTTTTAAAAAAAAAAGTAATTTGCATACATACCACACAATTCTTATGAATTTACATACCTAACACTAAAAGTTTGATATTTACACTTATAACCTTAAATCTTGGTATGAAAAGGTGTATTTCACTTTTAAAAGATGGTGATTGTGGTATTAAAGGCTTGAGTAGCATGCATGTAGACATGAATGTTTAGGTGTTAGCTAGGTATGTAAATACATAAGAATTGCAAGGTATGTATGTAACTGCCCCTTTCTTTAATTGTTTATTACTTTCAATGACTGCAGGGTGATAGGCGTGTCTTAGCGACTGATGAATGGCTTAGAGTCCTTGGATGTGAGAATGTATATGCACTGGGTGATTGTGCCACAATAACCCAAAGAAAAGTTATGGTATGCTGAGAACTTCAAAAAATTCTTGATTGAGCTAAAATTTTCATGCGCTTGGCTGAACGCCTTTCTAATACTCATTTATTTCAAAATCATTTCAGGAGGATATTTGTGCAATTTTTAAGGTTGCTGGCAAAGGAAATTCTGGCACTTTAACTGTAAAAGAAATTAAAGATGTTTTAGATGACATCATCGAAAGGTATCCTCAAGTGGCGCTCTATATGAAGACCAAGCAAATGAAGGATTTTTCCGATTTGCTGAAAGATTCTGAAGGTGATTCTTTCAAAGAATCTGTAGAACTTGACGTTGAACGTTTCAAGAAAGCCCTTGCACAGGTAGATTCGAAAGTCAAGATACTTCCTGCGACTGCTCAAGTAAGTTTGCAGTTTTATTTAGTTTTTCACTTAAAAGGGCCGTTTTTTCTGCAAAATTTAAGTTAAATCCTGCTTAATTCTCTTACCAGACAGCTGCTGAGATTATAAAAGGGACCTAAATCCCTGTTCAAATATAAACTTGGTTTTAGTTGTTTAAATAAAACTTAATTTCTAGAAGCTTATTCTAGAATATGTGGCAGGTATGAAATTATTGTGTAGTAGGTGTGGTAGGTGTGGTAGGTGTTGAATTATTGTGTGGTAGGTGTGGAATTATTTGTAACCATTGGATTGTAATTGTGGTGGCACAATCCTAGCCATTAATTTAGGAGATGCCACTAGTATAAATAGGGTGGAGTCTTTGAGTTTGTATCAAGCCGAGTAAAGGTGTTAAATAAGAGTGAAGCTTCTTCCATAAGTTGTGTTTTTAGCCTTTGTCATTTCCTAAAAGCTTTTTCATTCCAACAAAGTGGTATCAGAGCGAGGTTCCATTTCAGAGAAATGGCAAACAGTGGCATGACTTCTTTCCAAGTCCCGATGCTTAAGGAAAGCATCTACGACAATTGGAGTATCAAGATGAAGGCACTTCTTGGAGCGCATGACGTTTGGGAGTTGTGGAGAAAGGCTACGATGAGCCAAGTGATGAGTCTGCTCTATCCACAACACAAAAAGATAGCTTACGAGACTTGCGAAAGAGAGACAAGAAGGCTCCCTTCCTAATCTATTAAGCTTTAGATGAAGTGGTTTTGAGAAGATCTCAAGTGCTACCTCGGCCAAACTAGCATGGAAGAAGCTCGAGGTTTCATATAAGGGAGAAGAGAAGGTTAAAAAGGTACGACTTCAAACTTTAAGAAGTCAATTTGATGTTTTGCATATGAAAGAAGGCGAGTTGGTCTCCGATTACTTTTCTAGAGTCATTA